TTCAGCGGCAAATATTAGCAACAAAGACACTGCCACAAGAGTTACCAGAAGTAATGAAAAGTGTCATAAGTTATGTCAATTTTGTAAAGGCGAGCACTTTAAACAGTCGACTGTTTTCACAACTGTGCAATGAGTTGGATGTGCCAAAAAATGCTCTGCTATTTCACTCTGAAGCAAGATGGTTGTCGAGAGGAAAAATTTTAAAACGTGTTTTTGAGCTTCGTGATGAACTCAAAACATTTTTTAATCAGAAAGCAAGACCGCAGTTCGAAGCACTTTTCAGCGATAAAAGTGAACTGCAGAAAATAGCTTACTTGGTTGACATCTTTCCCATCTTGAATTAGTTAAATTTTCCACTGCAAGGACCAAATGCAACATACCTCGATTTGTCTGAAAAGATCCTATCATTCCAAATGAGATGTTGCTTTGGCAAACAAACAAAAAGGATGAAAATAAAATGTACATGTTGCCTACCTTATCTGCTTTCTTTGAGGAACATGACATTGAACCAGACAAAAGGATTATGATGATAATTTCTGTGAAAGAACACTTGCACATGCTTCCAGATCAAATTTCATTGTACTTCCCAAATCTACCTGACACCCCATTTGCACTTGCCAGAGCCCATTCAGAGTCAAAGTTGAAGATGTTCCTGAGACAGCACAAGAGGAGTTCATTGAACTTATTAACAATGATGCAGCAAGAACTGATTTCTCTATAATGCCAGTTACAAAATTCTGGATCAAGTGTTTGCGGTCATATCCTGCTCTATCTGAGCCTGCGTTGCACCTTCTTCTTCCATTTCCAACAACATATCTTGTTGAAACCGGGTTTTCCAGCTTGTTGGTTATCAAGTCTAAATACAGAAGTAGACTTGTTGTGGAACATGATCTTCATTGTGCTCTTGCAAAGACTGCCCTGAGAATTTCTGATCTGGTGAGTTACATTATGTTCATAACAGTAGCAAAATTACAGTTATGAAGTAGCAACAAAAATAACTTTATGGTTGGGGGTCACCACAACATGAGGAACTGTATTGAAGGGTCGCGGCATTAGGCAGGTTGAGAACCACTGGTCTAGAAGTTGGGCTCTGGGCTTGATGACAGCGCTTCAGAGTCAAGTTATATTTCCTGGATGCTCTTTTGTTTTCTGTGTGTTACCTGTCATCCTTGGCGTGCTTATTTCCACTGTCTTACTTCATACTTGTCACAATTACCAAAGATAAATATGGATTTTTTTTAGATGAATAAACCAAAGATCACTTGACTATGAGTCTTGTAATGATCACTTAGCTAAATGGAGATAAAAAGTCAGGGCATTTATCACTACCTGGGAAAATCTGTCACAGTTTACCTAATTTACAGGAAATCTGGATTATCACTCTTCAAATGACACACTTATATTGGGAATTGAGAATCCTTTAGAAAAAGCAATATAGAGCAAGTCTTTACTATCAGGAATTAACTTCAATACTAAATAGATAAAATATTATTGCTTCATAAAAAAGGCCTGTGTAATATTTTCAACAATAAAGATTTTTTTTAAAGGATGCAACTTATAACAATAGATAGGTCAATACGCAGTATTCTGCACACTTTTGGGCATTGAGTGATTCGTGATGAATTCACAAATCACTCCAAATCTACAACTCTGGAAAGGGGGATGTTAAGTTTAATTAGGTTCTAGAGGAGGCATCATGGTCCTGCCCTAGCGGTCGATGATATATATTTCTGCTAAAATCAGTAAGCAGTTTGGCTAATTCCAAGTCATTTAATTCTCCTTTATACTTATCACCATACCCTACATAACAAGGCCAATCGCTTAGTAATGAGGAAAAGGACTCTCAGGTTATAAAAACAGTGTATCAACCTGGACCCCATGTGAGAATTTTAGAGTGCATATTGAAAGAGAGCAGATATCTATAAAAATCAACTGATGAAGACTCGGTAGATAAAAGCTGTACTTTGAGCAAGAACATAATAAGACTACAACTTCATAATAAGAGCCTGGAACGAGAATCAGAAGGTCAAGGACAGATTAAACCATATGTAGAGTGCAGCCTAAGAGAACTGGACACTTACATCATTATTTAAATGTCTATCAGCAGTTTATTACATATTATTAAGTATAGTAAAATATCATACTTGTCAACTTCATAAACTCTCAAACTCAAAAAACTGTTTTATAGATACATGCATCAGAAGGCCCCATTTAATATTCAGCATCAGAAATGTCATTCAAATTGCTCTCTTAAGACTATTCTGTTTATGATACATTACTACTGCTCACAAATAACATACTTTAGGAATTATGTAGCCATAACAGAATCTTTACATCTGAAAGAGCAATGAAAGAAAAAAATCATATGAAAAAAATGCTTTAATTATGTTTGAAAAGTTATAACTAGTTTTTAGAGAAACCCCTAAAGAATATAATAAACATAAATACCGTGTAATAGTAATAGCCAAAGTTTTCATAAGTCACAATATCTGGTCTTTGTTTGTTGTTTCCGCCATATTTTTCATGGGACATAATGGTTTAATCTCTTATTTTCTGTATTTTGACTTGGTATCTTATTTCATATCTCCTCTCAGATGGAGGATTTGTGTTTTTACTGAGATACTCACCTTTTACTTTCAGTGCTCCCCATCCGGTGACAAACACTTTACTCTTAGGCAAGACTTCAAATGCAGCATCCGGGAGACAGACTCTGTGCACATCTTCGGAAAACAGGACGGGAGTGGAGAGCTTCACCAGCGCGATGTCGTCTTCGTGCTTATGGGCAGCGTAGTTCTCATGAAGGACGATTGACTGCACCCTTCTTCTCATTAGCGGAGGGCTTAGAGTGGTTCCAAAACTAGCCGTCCAGAGTTTGGGGTTTTTGTAACTGATCACAGATTAAAAGGATTATTGTTGGTTCATTCCTGATCTAAAGTTACCCAGGACTCTGGATGAGCAGGGGGCATAGGGTGGGAGAAGGGCAAATTGTTTAAGGTGATAGTAGACGGGGATCCTCCCACCTTCTCATTTAAGGCTTCTCCCCTGGGGCTGCCTTGTATTGATTTAGCTGATGACAAATCCCCCCATTCTCATGGAGCTTAAAGTATACTCTTCCGGGGGAGTTTGTATTTTTTTTTAAAGGAACCAATGGATTGTTGCTATTTTTTGAAGAAAATATACTTGAATAAAAATTAGAGATATTATATACATACATATACATATCACTATGTCCATGCATAGTTATTTAAATGTACGTATGTATAGTTAGAAAGAGAGAAAAGGAGGGAAAGGGAGGGGAGGAGAGGAGAGAGAGAGAGAGAGAGAGAGAGAGAGAGAGAGAGATTAGAGCCACAATTGATTCAGTGTTTTCTCATCTTTTCTTTTAAGTTAAATTTTATCCAGAATATTGTCACATTTTATGTGAATTTCATTAGAGCTACTACATCTCTTTATTTTCTCCAAGTGTCCCATATGTTAAATCTTCAATGAGTATATAAATAATAAAAGTAGAGCACCAAAGATATCCATGTGGGAAAATCAGATGTAAGTTAATGGGATAATCAGATGTAAGTTTGTGGGTTGAGATATTATTAGCAGAGTTTTTAAAAACTCCACAATATATCTCAGAAAAACTGGCAAGTGTGTTTAAATTTTGACAGTGTTGGTTTATTCTTAGTTAAATTGAGACTGCTGGGGAATATATATTCAGTTAAAGCTGAAGATACTCTAATTTTTTTGTACTATTCAGTAATTGTCACTTTTTCTAAGCCTACCAGAAAAATCACGAATACTCTTGGGAGGCCTAAGATGATTGATGGAAAAGGGATACGAATTATAGCAAGTGAAGGTGAGAAACAGAAGTGACATTGGTGACCCTGTTGGTACAGACGGAGGACTTACGTGTCAAAGCAATGCGCTGCAGTCAGGAGCCACTCCTCACTGATCAAAGAGGCACCACAATAGTGGGTGCCATCCATTTGCAGGCTGGCTTGCCATGGCCAATCAGCTTTCTTTGCAATATAACCATTAGCAATTTTTTCCATGGATGGAGACTCCCTCCCTAAACCACAACCTGTCATAAGAGAATAAGATGATTATTTCTAGAGTTATCAATGTGTATAAGTATATTTGGCACATAGTAAAATATGGGAACATTCATAGGTTTGCCTGGCCTTCAAATTTAATCAAAATTACATGATAGAATAATACTTTATACCAAAAATGGTTAACTTAAAGCATAAAATATTTAATACCCTCCCTGATGTATTTAAAGCAATTTCACTTAATTTTTTTCTTATATTTTGGGATCATGTTCTTAGGTGCAGCATTTGCCCCCATGATATTTGATGGTTTTGATTGTGAAATGTACACTAATTATTGGAGGAGAAAAATACTATTTGTACTATTTTATTTAAATACTTGTCTAATATTAAAAACATTACATAACTTAGTAAAAATATCTAAGTTTACATATTAAAGTTAGTGGGTGTCATTTACTTCTAAACAAATTTTCTACTTTAACAAAGTGAACCAAATAAAAATAAATAAGATAAAATGAAAGGGAACTCTTTAAAAGAAGTCATCAGTGAATCCTTCTAGAAAGAAGAGCAAGTTATTTCCAAAGAACCCATGTGACATGAATTCCCAATTATTACTAATAATTATTTTCCCTAGAGGAGAGTTAAATCATGTATCCATTTAGAGATATCATATACTTTTGGAAATAGTAAACATAGGAGTAGAGAAACTCTATTCTCTCTCCCTTTTTTTAATTGATTTCAGAGAAAGGGAAAGGTTGAGAGAGATTGAAACATCAGTTATGAGAATCATTTGATAGGCTGCCTCCTGCACGCCCCCTACTGGGATTGAGCCCACAACTGGGGAATGTGTCTTTCATTGGAATCAAACCCAGGACCCTTTAGTCCACAGGCTGATTCTTTATCCACTGAAAAAAACTGGTGAGGGCGGTGCTATTCTACTTTAAGCATACTTTCAAGGAAGATGTTTTATAAAATTAAAATCCATCTACATTATAATGTAATTGCTACAATAATCATGACTCATAACATCCTACAATTATAGCATATTCAGTGGCAAAACAAAATATTCAAGAGTATATAATATTAATTTATTTTTTTTATTGTATAAGCCAGTTAGGACCCTTTAGTCCACAGGCCAATGCTCTATCCACTGAGCCAAACTGGCTAGGGCAAGAAACTCTTAAAAGTGTTTTTAAGTTTTATTATTTGATATATTAAACATCTCAGAGATATTTTTGAACTTACCGCTGTTCAGAATGTGCTCTGCTTGTATTTTATTTATATCTGGAAAAAATACAAGATGATTGCTCAGCAATGGAACAATTATCATTTAAAACACTGTACCTGCATGACATGAATGTTTCTATTCGGAAGAAACTGAATTAGTTAGGAAATACTTAATTTAAAAGCAATAGAATAAAATCCTACGAAAAGGGGAAGCTTAGAAATAAATTAACCTCTTCATGCCTACTAAATGTGGACTCTAGGAAAATGCTGGTTAATTGTTATAAAAACATTGGCAGAGAGGATGCTATTGTTTGCCATGAAGGCGGATTAATGCCATGCCAATTTATTAAAATATAAGTGAAACTGAAGAGAACCGAAGACCACTTTTACATATATACTAATATGTTTGGACACTGTTCTCCTCCATCCTCATTCACACAGTAGTGTTACTGTAAAGCCGTTCAAGAATCTTAGACAGCTGGCATCGAGGGTTGGTCCACAGATGCTCCCTGTGGAATCAAAATCCACCAATATCCTAACAAATCCTCAAATATGTTAGTCATTTTTATCATGAAGTAAAATGGAAAACAAAGCATGTTCAGTTGTTCCCCACAATTACATGAATTTCTCCTTATGCCAGATAGCATAAGGAGCAATCTAGACCCATATTTTGCTACAATGAAAGCTGTGTGAAATTTCAGTAAACCTGCAAATTAAGGAGTCTTTAATGTAGGTCAGACTCTAACCGAGAACATAAAATTCATCTGCAGATTACTATGGGTAGGGAGTTTATTAGAGTAAATCCCTTAGAATTAGGTTTTGCCAATAATAACAATCTCAAAAGGATATAAAGTGTATGATTCCATTCATGTAACATTCATGAAATAATATAATTACACTAGAGGCCGGTGTATGAAATTTGTGCATGGGGGGGTGGGAATCCCTCAGCCTGGCCTGCACCCTCTCCAATCTGGAACTGCTGGCTCCTAACCACTCACCTGCCTGCCTGCCAGCCTGATCACCCCTAACCACCTCTGCCTCAACCCCTGCTACCATGGCTTTGTCCAGAAGGAGGACTGGACGACCAGAAGATGTCCAGTCTATCTGGTCTAATTTGCATATTACCCTTTTATTGGTATAGATAGATGGAGAATGGCTTAGGGTTCCCAGGGGATAGAGATGAGCAGAGGGTTTGGGTGTGGCTATAAAGAAGTAACACAAGGTAGTCTCATGGCACAGTAGCAGAGTATAGGGTTGTTTTTTTTAAATCATATCCATGTTTAATTCAAACAATTATACCAGGGGTGTGCAAACTTTTTGACTCGAGGGCCACAATGGTTCTTAAACTGGACCAGAGGGCCAGAACAAAAGCATGGATGGAGTGTTTGTGTGAACTAATATAAATTCAAAGTAAATATCATTACATAAAAGGGTACGGTCTTTTTTTTTTTTTTTTTTTTTTTTTTTAGTTTTATTCATTTCAAACGGGCCGGATCTGGCCCGCGGGCCGGAGTTTGCCCACGGCTGAATTATACTAATATCTCTCTTTCAAAAAAGGAGGAATTGCTATTATATTTGTGCTATTATATAATTATTATATAATTATTCTGTCTTAATTATTTCCATATTAATCAAAGGAATATTTTGGTGTTGATTGGGTTTTTGCTTATTATCAAGTAAATGAGAGACTTAAAAATGAAAAGCATTTTCATTTTATGGTGAAATAAAGATCCTTTCTCTGTAGATGAGAAGATAGCAAAATTGTGAACTATAGCAAGGAGAGAAAAATGGTATTTCTTACCTTTAAGATAAGGCAATGAAGTATCTATCTTCAAGAAGCTTTCATTTAATTTTAACTTCTGATGCAAAATGTTAGCAGCTTGACTTTTTACTGTTTCTGCATTGTTAGGAAGAAAGTGAAATTTAAGCAATACATCTGTTTTCAATCCATCATGACTTGACCTGGAAAACAGAAACACCACAATAAATAAGTGAAGTCATAGCCATAATTATTATTTTATACCTTATTATTTAAATATTAGTTATATCTTTAAAAATACAACATAAATATTTTATTATCATAGATTTTTCCCTTTCTTTTATCATATAGGTGTTAATACATAAATTATTCCCTGTTCGTAAAAGTGTTTCATATTTACAGAGGGGAGAGTAAAATTCTAGAGTTTTGGAATTTTTTTTTCTGGGAAAATAAATCAAAAGTACTTGTTAAATTCGTCAACTCTGTCTACATATATTTTTTCTTAATTTTTAAAAATTCATATCTGTTTATGCTTAAAATTTAAGTAAAATTTAAAAATTAAGCCCAGCCAGGTGTGACATAGCAGTTGAGCATGGACCCAGGAATGAGGTCACATGTTCGATTTCCGGTCAGGGCATATGCCCAGGTCACAGGGTCGATCCCCAATAGGGGGTGTGTAGGAGGTAGCTGATCAATGATTCTCTCTCATTATTAATGTTTCTCTCTCTCTCTCTCTCTCTCTCTCCCTTCTTCTCTGAAATCAATAAAAATATATTTTAAAAATTAAGTAAAAGTATTTAATGATTGTGAGAATCTTTAAGTGAAGGGCAAGTCTTTTTTTTTTAAATCCTCATGCGCAGATATGTTTTCATTGGTTTTTATAGAGAGAGCGAGGAAGGGTGTGTGTGTGAGAGGGAAATATCAATGTAAGGAGAAACATCAATAGGTTGCCTCCTGCACATGCCCCAAATGGTGGTTGAACTCACAACCTACGTATGTGCCCTACCAGAATCAGACCCACAATCTTTTTTCTGTCCAAAATATGTTTTTATTGATTTTTTTTAAGAGAGAGGAAGGTACAGAGGGAGAAAGAGAAAAACATTGATGTGAGAGAGAAACATCCATTGGTTGGCTCTGTACATACCCTAATGGGAGTATGAAACCCAAAATCTGGGTATGTGCCCAGATGGGGAATCAAACCAGTGACCCTTTGGTGCACAGGACTGTGCTCAACCAACTGAGCCATTCGGCCTGGTCAGAAATTCAAGTCTTTAAAAGAACAACTAGAAGAATGTATTTAATCTCTACCCAAATCAAGAATGTGTCCCCTCTAGGTACTCTGTAGAAGAGGAATAACAATTAAATATAGTAATATGAAATTATTTTTGCTCTTGGTATATCTAAGATTTTTTAAATATATATTTTTATTTATTTCGGAGAGGAAGGGAGAGGGAGAGAGATAGAAACATCAATGATGGGAGAGAATCATTGATTGGCTGCCTCCTGGTCATCCAACTACTGGGGATCAAGCCTGAAACCCAGGCCTGTGCCCAGACCTGGAATCAAACTGTAACTTCCTGGTTCATAGGTCAACGCTCAACCACTGAGCCATGTCAGCTGAGCTATCTAAGATTTTCATATCCTGGCAACAAAGCAAATAAATGAAGAATAACTAAATAAAACAAAATTGCCCTTTCATTATACAAATTGATTAGTTATGATTACCTAAAGTTGACAACATGAGATTCGATGTAATGATGATTTAAACTGGAATTTTGAAATATTTTATCAATCTGAGAAAAGAAAAAAAAACAACACACAGCATAGAACTTTGTTAAATATGAATTTCACACATTTCAATAGAACACAAAAAAGTTTGTATAAAACCTGCAGTGATTCAAATAGCATTTAATTCTGTGTTGCTTTATACCTATCCCCACCCAGAAAGCTCACTGGGGCATAATCCTGTTATCAGAAAGATCTTCCTAGTAATTAGATGTTGATATTTAAACAATTTGTCACAGGGTTAAAGATGGCTGATATAGAGTTGAATGAAGCTAGCTGTTTCAACAGCCAATATAAAATATGCACAGAGTTGGAGGTACAAAGATGGAGGTTCTTTGAAAACTTGCTACATAAGGACTTAAAATCCTCTGTCATTCAAATTCAGTTATCTTCCTCATGGAGATGATTAAAGAATCAGTCTTTTAGACTTTTCTGAAACTTTTTAGGCCATATTTTGATTCTGTGATAAATGGGGGAGAGGAAAAGAATATATATTTTTGGGTACTTCTTTAAAATTAATATACTCAGCAAGAAAAATCATGAAATAATAACAGAATAAGACTATGCAATTTGTGTGTCATTTTAGACTTTTATGGGATAATTTCTGTGTAATACTAATTCCTAGAAGAAATTATTTCATACTAAAACCACAGATTGTTACAGAATCTGTGGTTGCACTAACCTACTCATTAACATTGACTCATCAATCTGGCTTTTCAGAAAAAATGACAGAACATGTGTCAAATCTTAAGTGAACCTGAGTCTCAATAATTATTTCCTCAAATCAAAAGAGAAAAGAGATGTCAAAATGTGAAACTAGACATGTGCTGAACAAGGGCTTTTCACTCATCTGATTTATGACATTTCCTCTGGTGAGGCACCATATCATTTCCTATTAGATAGGATGGTAAGCATACAGTTATTGAAGAATCGAGTTATTAAAAAAAGAAAATTCAAGTTATTAAGAAAAACAATGACCAGGTGTTTTCCTTTAACAATGATAGAAAATTTGTTTTTCTAAGGATATAGTTTTATATACACACATGTACATTTATATGACAAAACCTAATACATATTCATTGTAAAATGTTATAAAAAGCTAGCAAAACAGCAAAGCATAATGAAAAGCATTAAAATAACTTCTGAATCACTGCAGAGAACCTGTAATTTTCATTTTGGGCATATGTACTTCCAGATTTCTACATAGATTTTTATAAATTTTACTATAAGTTCTCTGCCTATTTCCATTCTCTTTCTATCTCATTATTTTGTTGTTGTTTCCTTTAAATCACAGTTTTGCGAGTCATGTTATTGCCCATGGCAATATAAGTAGTCTAGCTAGATTATAAACAGTCTAGATTATTGAACTCCAAAAGACGCCTCTAAATTTCATTGTAGATACTGATTTTAGTCATTTCTTCTGGGATAATGTTTGCTAGAACTGAAACTCGCAGTCTAAATCAGGGATAAGCAAGTTATAGCGTATAGGAAAAATCAGCCAGCCACTCGTTTTTGTGGGCCCATCATCTAAGAGTGGTCTTCATATTATTTTAATAGTTGAAAAAATCATTAAAAAAGTAATGTTTTGTGCCCGCTAAAAATTTTTACAAAATTTAACTTGCAGCATCCAGAATCAAGTTTTCCTGGGCTGCAGCCACACTGCTTGGCTGATATATTGTTTCTGGTGCAATAGCACTACAAAGACAGATCTGAATTGCTTCAGAAGGACTGTATGGCCTGCAAAGCTGAAAATTTACTATCTGGCTTTTTAAAAAATTTCTTTATTGGTTAAGGTATTACAAATGTGTCCTCATCCTTCCACAGATGAGTGAGATCATGTGGTATTTATCTTTCTCTGACTGGCTTATTTTACTTAGCATAATGCTCTCCAGTTCCATCCATGCTGTTGCAAATGGCAAGATTTCTTTCTTTTTTTACCGCAGCGTAGTATTCCGTTGTGTAGATGTACCACAGTTTTTTAATCCACTCATCTGCTGATGGGCACTTATCTGGCTTTTTACAAAAAATAAATAAAATTGCCAACTCCTGGTCTAAATTACTGTACTTCTGTACTGTATTTCTCAATTATGATCCTTCTCCTATGTGGTCACCATTTGTATTCTAGAGGACAGGGCCACTACTAGTAAATTCTTTATTCCCTAGACATTTGTTTGATGAGTATTTTTATGATCCTACCATGTGGCAGACACTGTGACAGGCGCCAGAATTATAAGAATAAGTTGATTTAGCCCTTCACAAATCCAGAGAAACCTAGACATATAAAATAATAATAATGTCACAAGGCAGTAAGTGCTCTAGCAGAGATAGGTGTGTGAAAAGTTCCATGAGAACACAAGAAACAGATACTAACCTTCATTCAGACATTATTTTTCATACTTTTTATTCGCAACATAAGCTGATTCTCAGAATAATTCAGAGGTGGGTGTGATTATCATTATTTTGAAAGTGGAAACCTTGAGGGGTCAAGCCGCTTCCCAAAGTTGAGAAGCCGATTGAACATAGATGTTCTGACTTCAAAGCTTAGACTGTCTCCAATTCAATATATTTATTCCTGTAATAAATATTCAGTACCCTACCAATGCCACTTAGATGCATATTTCAACTCATTTCATCATTTTCTGATTTTGGTTGGGAAATGGCTAAAGAAATATTTCTGAACCTGGAAAGAATGATCTTTTATCTTTGGTCAAATGGTTGGCTCAGTAGAAGTTGTGTATACATTTGAAGTCTTCAGTGGAAGTCTATGTGTTTCTATGCTCTATTTTTAGGAACAAATGTTCAATATAATTGCCTAATTATTAGGGAAATATATTAGGATCATACACACTGTAGGTGTATTTTTAATGATATATGGTAATGTTGTTTGTGCCTGAATGATTGAGTTATATTTCCAAATATGCTATTTTTTTGTACTTAAGCTATTTTTTTTCTTTTTGTTTAGCTTATGTTGTTCAGTCTTTGGTGCAATCATCCTTTCTCCAGTGTGCCTGAGACAATGTTGGTTAGAGTTGCCAGGAGTAGCAAATAAAAATAGAGTTAAACTTTAATTTCAGATAAACAATAAATGCTTTTTAGTATAAGCATGTTGAAAATATTGAATGGAGTATATTTTCAAGAAGATGTGAAATTAAAATTTAGCTGGGCATTCTGTATTTTATCTGGCAAACCGAACATAGATGTAATTTGGTGTGCTCTCAACTCACCTCTTATTTTATTTTAACCTCTTTCTCCCTAACAGTATTGTCAGGTAGAAATGATGCCAGCAAAACTTAGACTTACCTCATCATTGATTTTTTGTTTCAGGTCAGTCCTAATTTTTGAGTGCTCTACTGAAAAATCTGGATTATATTCAATACTGGGGATCTGGAAGGACGTTTGGAAATAGTGCATCTTTTTCTGATCTGGAAGGCAGAACAAATATGCATGGTTTCTCTTTAGTTCATATGAGCTACATAAATAATGGAAATAGAGGTAATGGCATGCAAAAACATCCCAAAATTGATGAACTCCTGAGAATTAATTCAGTAGCTGTGGCCAACACTTCTCTCTTCCTTTTTGAAGATTGCACAATCTCTTAGTCATGTAATTTTCAGTTGTGTCCTGACACAAGTTGACCTTGAATTTAGAATTGCTACTAAAATAATTTTTTATTCTCAATAAATCATATTGAGAATATAAAATCATACAATAACATAGGATATAAATCTATGGCATTGGTCAAGAAAAAGTATTACGTGAACCAAGTCAAATTTTAATGCTAGAAGCATTTTTACACATAAAAGATTATAATTTCCAATATGTAGATAAATTTATGCAAATCAACATTACATTATGTAAAGTATGTACACATTTAAGGAAATCATTGTTGCAATGAAAATTGTATTCTAAAATATTAAAAATTATTAAAGTTTTGAAATAAGTGAGTGGATATTTAAAATTAAAAAAAAAATGCAATGAGATAGGTTCTTACCAAATGCCAAAAAATAAACAAGGAGACCGATGATTATTGCTAGAACCAACACAACAGCTGCAACAAAAAGGGCAATCATCCATGGTTTCAAGGAATTTGTTCTTCTGCTTCGTATTGGTGGCCTTTTGAGAGAGAGTTGTACATTAAAAACAAACAGAACTTAAAGACTGGAATCTCAATTTCACATAGTTTTGGCATAGAATGTCTGTTTTTTTTGTTTTTACTTTAAAAAAATTTTTTTTGATGAGTAATTATTTTTTTTAATTGTTTAAAGTATTACATGTCTCCCTTTTTCCCAATTAACTCCCGTCCCTGAGGGCAAGCCTGCACCACCCCAGTGTCTGTCCATTGGTCATCCTAATATGCATGCATACAAGTCCTTTGGTTGATCTCTAACCCCTTCCTCCCCTGCCTTCTCCCCAAGGTTGGACAATCTGCTCAGTGCCACCTTGTCTCTGGATACATTTTGGTTCATCAGTTTATGTCGATCATTATATCCCACATATGAGTGAGATCATGTGATATTTATCTTTCTCCAACTGGCTTATTTTGCTTAGCATAATGCTCTCCAGTTCCATCCATACTATAGCAAATGATAAAAGTTCCTCCTTTTTTATAGCAGTGTAGTATTCCATTGTGTAGATGTACCACAGTTTTCTAATCCACTCATCTGCTGATGGGCATTTAGGCTTTTTCTAAAT